AAGTATACAAGAGAATATTATGAAGTTTTAGGCAAACATGGCAAAATGTACAGACTGCAAGCAGAAGATAAAACTACTATTGTCAGACCTCTTTTCAAACTTGTCAAAGTTCAAGGTGGTATACTTTCAAAGACAGTTCCTAACCAATATAAGACAACTCCTGACGAATATGCTAAAGAAGTTGAAAATGACGACTAAGCAATTCTATACCATGCGTAAACTGTCATGTAAGGTGGCATGTAGTCTTTACTTTGTCCCGTTGTTTGCGTATACCCTGAAACGCGATGTGTATGGTTTCCATCTCCCTGAGTGTTACCCCAGAAACAATTTATAGCAAACTGAACGTCGTCTTTAACATCATATCCTTTACCTTTTTTCATTGCTGACCAATCCCAAAAATTATGCTTATGCCAACCATCTCGAGATGTACTTAAATCTATGTAGTGACTGTGTGCAGGTAAGTTTTCACCTGAAATCGTTTTACTTCCACCTGTTTCCTTTGAAGAGTTTGCACAATACAAAAACCTGTCGACTATTTGAGTCCAAGTTCCAAAACCAAGTACTACTTCTGGTCTGGTAGAGTTCATTGACGTATAAATAGAGCCAACCGGGTAAATAAGATTCGGCAAAATTTGTTTAAGCACATTGAGTTCCTGTCTTAGATGTATAATACTATTGTCATTAGATATCAAAGTATCTACAAGACTTGTTGCCGGTGGTATTGTTGGAGCTTTACTTGGCAAGGTTGTGTTTAGTGTAATATCATCTGCTGTAAAAGTTGTAAAACTTGTATGTGTATGGTTCTTGTCTGCTTTCTTGTCATATAAATCTTGAGCAGTGAATTTAATATTATGTTCATCCTTCATGACATAAACATCTTTACATCTAATGTTTCTCATCGTCGTTATGTCGTCATCCGATGTTAAACCTTGTGGAAAGTTAGGAGGTTTACAATATAATACATCCCCATCAGGTTCTTCAACCGTTCCTTCAATACTTTCTATAGCAACAGTTGTAAAACTTGTATGTGTATGTCCAACGTCACTTTTACTGTTTAAGGTTTCTTGTAAGTTTGTAATATTTGCAATGGTATGTGTATGAGTCTTATTTGCTTTTGTCTCTAAGGTTTCTTGTAAGTTTGTAATATCAGATATAGAATGTGTATGAGTCTTTTTAGAATATTCGTTTTCAGCTCTTGTCACTTCACTTGACATTTTATTGTCAACATATGTTTTGTCTGCTAGTTCAGGATGAGTATGTTCTTTTGTTGCATATGTTGCATCTGCTCTGTCATGTTCTTCTTGAACTTTTTCAATGACATATTCTTTGTCAGCTTTGTTGTCAACATCTGCTTTCAAAAGAAGTTCTTTTATAGGTTTCTCGTTTAAAGTTCCTTTTGTTGGATTTATACAAACAGTATGGTTCTTATTGTCTTGAAATAGAAACTCATTTGTCATTGGGTTTAATGTCAGTTTTAAGTTTCCTTCTTTCAATGACTCAGATATCTTAGAATAGTTTGAAAAGTTTGTTGTGTTCTTATTTAGAGCTTGTATAATGAGTTGTCGGTTGTGTTGTATTTCTCTCATAGACGCTGTTTCATTTGACATTTTTATTCTAGATAAAATATGCTTTCAATAGAAAAAGAAAATTCAAGAGTTGCTACAACTAAACCATTAGATGAACTTTTTACGAATGTCGGTCAAAAGTTTGAGACAGAGACCGTAAAGCATGAAGGCTATCGTTTTGACTACCCGTTAAGATGGTTAAGAGACCCATCTGTCACAAAAGCTATTGGCTTTCGTAGAATGAAGTTTGTGTCTGTAGAAGATAAAAGTTTTCCATTTATTGTAAGGTTTCATATAGATTATATATCTGAAGGGAAACGAAAAATGTGGGAAGAAATTGAGCTAATACAAGTTGACCTTTCATCTTCTCTACAGACTGCGTTAAAAAATATAGAAGATAAAATAAATTCATGTTATGCAAAATATGCTGATGAATATGCAAATACCGAGAGCACACTTTATGTGAGAATTGTATATGACAAACAAAATTCACAAGTGTCATTTCAAATCTACGAAGACAATCCAAAGAAAGACGAACAAATATATACAGAATTCACTGCAATGTCATGGTATTATTTGCAAAGAATGTTAAATCAGAAAGTCGAACTTCCTTTAGCAAATATCTACAGTCGATATGCAAGAGATGAACCATATTTATTTAAAGATGTTTTCGACCCAGCTGCTATTATAGTTCATGCTTCATTTTCTGGTGCACAAAACTCTTTCTTATGCTTGGCAAATGACTTTTACGAAAAACCTACAAAGCTATATGAACCACCAAGTGGAAGTATTTCAGACTTTCAAGTATGGTTTACAACAGATGGAAGAAAGAGAATAGTTCCATTATACCATGCGTTTTACTTAGAACTTAGTTTCATATACAACTACTATCGAACGGTAAAAATATAATTTTTTAATACGGTTGAGGTGTTGGATTTGGTTGCCAACTAGACTGTGGTGCAGGTTCAGGCTGTTGTATAACAGGAGCTTGTTCTTCTGGTTCAGGGTCTTTAGGTATAATACCAACGAACTGACCTACTCTTTTACCAATATTTTTGACTCCGTTCCAAATTCCTCTTCCTACGGTTTTTATTCCATTCCATATACCTCTTCCAACTCTTCTGAAGAAGTTTCCAATACTACTGAAGAAACCCATTTTACTATATGTAAAAATCTAATGTCCACCTAGTCTCTTACGTTTCCTGTTGAGTTCCATAGCATTCTTTAACTGGAGCTCATACATTCTGTTTCTCCTCTGGTAGAAAACATATTCTGGGTCAACTCCTGTGTTCGCGTCATCTGCATAAAGTTGTTTATATCCCACTTCAGGGTTTGTATAAAACTCTTTCCATCTCATATTTGCATACCATGGTGGCAAACCTAACGCAGCGTCATTTGACATGGCAGTTTGCATTTGTACATCTGTTGGCACTTGACCATAGTTTGCCATTGCAGTTTGTATTCTAACTTCATTTGGAATATTCTCTGGGTTTGGTTGTCCAGGTTGCTGTGCATTCGCTAAGTTCTGTGCGTCCATTTAATATTAGATAAAAATATCTCTTACGAGTACATATACTGGACATTTGCAGGCATTGGTTCATCTTCATATTCTCTATATCTTTCTGCCACGTCAAAGAAATAAATGACACAATGGAAAAAACCTAAAACAAGTAGTCCTATTTCAAACCACATTTACTTACTAGTAAAATTTCTTTGTTATGACACTTTCTCCAGTTTATAGGACCTCTCTCATATTCTATCTTGTCATATCTAAACTCATAGTCATGTATGTCCTCTAACCATCTCATAACGGTTTCCAAACCACTTTTATCGGATGTAAAGTAAAAGCATGGACAGTTATGTAAAACGTCTAAAGTTTCTAAAGAGTCTCTCAAAGTCCAGTCTACTTGGTATTGAAAATCCCATGTGTTATAGAACGGCGGGTCCACTATAAAGAAAACATTTTCCTTGTCTTTATATTTTTCATACAACTCTGTCCAACGACATCTCACAAACTCTATACCCTCAATATATTTTTCTATGTCCTCTTTGAAAACATTTGTATAGTTAAGATATAAAACATTTGACATAAGTGTTTCAATGTCATGAACTCTTATAGCACCACTATATAATAGTCTAGCAGATATACTATCCCAGTCTATATATTCTGCTTTTTTCAAAACCTCTCTCACAATATTTTTGTTATCTAATGGTATACGTTCCATCTTACCTATAGGTATCTTTTCTTTTAACTCTTTCAATATATTGTTTGTGTCTGGTATATGTTTGAGACGGTCCATATAGTTGTCGAAGTCATTGCATATAATCTTTGAGTCTGGGAATATTGTATGGCACAAATGGGATATATAGAAACTTCCACCGAACAAATCTACAAATGTTAGACCATTCGGTAGTTTCTTAAGTTCTCTCAATAGAATATCTTTACATTTACTCTTATTTCCAAAGAACGGTAACGGTGGTTTTGTAAAATTCATTTATATATAATAATAAAAATGTTTTTTCCTGAAAAGTGACAGAAAAGTGACAAAACATGAAAACATATATAATTTGTGAAAAGCGACACATTATATAATGTTTTCGACCCAGAAGAAGGCTTCTCAAAGTATACTTCCTTGGAACGCCTGTAACTTTTCCTGTAGCGACGATAGACCCTTACTTGTCCGGACAAAGTTATACTAAACATCTTCAGGGCTAGAAGGGGCGCAGCCCCTGGAAGCCCCACACACCTGACCTATCTATATATAGCTTCTTTTATAAAAGATAAAAAAATAAATTATTTTAAAATTAATGTTAATTTTTTAATGATTTATAAATAAATATATTTTAATGCATCGTCTATATATAGATGTAACAAAAAAAGTCACTAAACCCGTCATATCATACTACTTTCAAATATGAATAAAATGAAATAATGGAAATTTTTCATTTTGCCCATAACAGACTTCGGACTCGTGCTATATCTGATGCAATTCAATATCAATTTTTTTTCTTTTCATAAAAAATTATTTAAAAAATTACATAAATTATTAGAAAAGGAGTGATTTTTCAATTTTTGTGAAATTTCAAGATAGAGGATGAGATCTATTTTTCCAATTTAAAATGTTTTCAGTCGAATCTATAGATTTTTATATTAAAATAGAAATATTATTTTCTCATATCATAAGTAATTAAAACAAAAATTAGATAAATTACAATATAAATACTCTAAAAACTTTAATAATTCAAACAGTTTTGATGATTCTTGGTTTAATGATATATCTCAATAATCATTGTGCGTTTCGAGAGAATGAAACACAATAATATATATGGGATTTGTTTCCCAGTGCTCTCCTAAGGTAAATAAATGTGCAAACAACATTTGTATAAACATGTTTTATTGCAATTCTTTATAAAAATAATAAAAATAGATTTTTTTTATTCTTCTTGTTCTTTATCATCTTTATTTTCAGGAATTTCCTTTTCTTCTCCAGTCTTTAATTCAGGGAAATACTCTTCAAGCTTTGCAACTTCGAATGGAATGATTCCTTTCTTCACGTGAAGAGCGACGTTGTATTTCGAAATCATTCCACCATATCTGATCTTTGTTCCTTCGACGTAAACAAACAAACCTCCTTTCTCTGCTTCACTGATCAATTTCTTGGCATTTTCTGACAATTCTTCAAATTTAAGACCAGAATTTCCAATTTCGAGCAACTTCTTCATATCAACTTGGGAAACAGGGAATTTCCTTTTATTAGAAGATTCGAAAGCAACATCAATTCCATCGTAACAAGGGATTGCGTGGATAGAATAGTTGTCAGATAATTTCTTCCAAGAGAAAATTCTTGATCCACATGAAACAACTCTTAAAACTTCTGGTTTGGATTCTCTTATTATCTTGCTTGCATTATCATTCATCAAGATGATGGAATGAACAGAGTTTTCAGCTCTACTGAAGAGATTTTCTTCCTTTATTTCGTCATTTAATTCGTATTCACTTTTGAGTTTTTCAAAAATGTTCACTTCACTTTCCATTTTGTTCAAAGCGATGAAAGGTGGTTCTGGCCATTTGCCCATTGGACGTGGGTTCATAGGGTTCTTCAAATCATCAACTTCACCTGTCTTCTCAAGAACACAAACAAAGAAACCGCCGGTATCGTTCAAATGTGGCAAAAATCTCATTGAATTTTCAATTCCTTCGACGACATCAATTGGGAACATTGAAGAAGGAACTCTTCTCTTTTTCTCTTCGGGAACTTCTTCAGGATTCATATACTCTTTCTCATCTGTAACAACATGCCATGATTTGAGACCTTTCGTGCGTTTTAAGTCTGTAAATTTGTCAGAAACATCCAAAATTTTGACATTTCCTTTACATTCTTTGAGAACAGAGCTTATGACAGCTTCGTCTTCGATTGGGTTCAAGCTGCATGTGGAGTAAACGCACCTGCCTCCAACTTTCAACAATCTAAGGGCTTTTGTCAAAATCGCACGTTGTAAAACATGCAAATTTTGTCCTTCAGAAAGTTTCCAATTTGGACCTGCATCTGGTGATTTTCTGAGGGTTCCATCGCCACTGCATGGTACATCGCATACGATTCTGTCAAATTTGATCAGTTCTGGGAATTGCTGGCCTTCATGGGAAGTCACAATAATTTGGCGGTTGTCAAGTCTTTGTAGACGGCCAGCAAGTGTATGACAGCGCTTTGCGTTGACTTCGTTTGCAACTACGATACCAGAAAGTGGCTTTCCGTTGGCTTTCTTGAGCATCATTTCGATAACTTGAGTAGTTTTAGATCCTGGAGCAGCGCACATATCAAGTACGAAGTGATCTGGTTGTACATCAAGGAAGTATGGTGGAATCATGGAAACTAACTCTTGGCGGCTAAAATCTCCGGATCTTTCGTGAGTATTTAACCAATTTCTGAATGGTTGTAAGGCTGGATTCTTTCGGAAGTTTGGATTGTCAATTGACATCTGGAATATTTCACCAAATTCGTCGCCTAATAATTCTATTTTTTGAACTTCGATATCTGCTTTTTTAATATCTTCTAAATACAAATGTAATGACTTGCGAACATTTTCTGCATCATTTGCAACTGGATTAAGGCGGAATACATGGGGAAGACTGATCTTGAAAGTCTCAATCATTTTGTTGAAACCTTCTTCATCGATAGCTGCTGGAACTAATTGCATTTTGTAATAATTTATGTATGTGTCTTTTATTAGTGTAACATCTGTGCATGTATCTGGCTTTTTTCTCTCATTTGATTGTTGTCCTTTTTTGCGTCCCATTTTACAGAAAAATTTTTTTTGCTACAAAATTTTGCCGCCAAGACACCAAGCTGATCTTGTGTTGCCCTTTTAACAAGCTCTTTTCATCCGCATTCAAAGGCTATGTTTACAGATATTGGGCTCTTCGTTTCCTGATAATTTCATTTTGTTTCTTGCATTTTCCTCATTAAATGTTTGTTTTTTATTTTCCTCATCACACCATGCAATAGTGACATTAACAGATGGTATACTAGGGTAAATGCATATTTATTTTTAATTCTATTTCTTGTCAATAATTTCAAAAATGAAATAATGTAAAATCAAATTGATAAAAGTCTTGATTCCAACATTGTTTTAGAAAACTAAGGAGAAAACAAGCCGAGGCATGGAATTTGAGACATGAAAAGATATTGTGTAAGGATATATACTTATAGATCCATTTTCATATATTACCTTAGCCATTGATATACAATTTTCTTATTAAATAGTTGTTTTAGCCCTTTGTAGATCAGCTCATGATATAAAATGTTTTTTATAAAACTGATAAGATGATATCCATTAATATTATCGTTAAGTAAAATGATGATCACTTTTTCAACAATTATCCTCTGCTAAAAATTTAAAATTTTAATTTCTTGAAAGTTTCAGACTTTGCAATATACAAAATGGATAACAACTCAAATGCCGATTAATATATCAATGTAGTACTTATTACTGCCATTATCAATTTTCAAAGGATTCATTTCGTCGTATTTAACGAAGCAATACAGTGCCAAGAGATATTTTATTTTAATGAAAGAGAGGATGTACTCTTTATATCCTTGCTGTGTGGCTAAATCTTGATATTTCATATAATCTAATCCGTCAATCAGAACCCAGATAACAATATTCGATATTAAATAACAATCTGTTAGAATTTGCAAAAAATATCCGTTCGTCGTTACTATCATTTCGGATATCAAAACTGATAGTTCAGAATTTTTCAAATGCCGCCGTTATGAGGAAAGAAATTGAGAGAAAATAAATCAAGCAGATTTTCCAAATATTACTATTGAAAATTATGGAATGTTTTAATGCAGTTATGGATAATAAAATGTATTCAAAAATTCATCATTCAAATAATAATGGAAAAAATATATTTAAAAAGGCAATAAAATATGTTTTCATGCTTGATTTGAATTCAATTCAAACTTGACATACACAAAAGTGCTAAAAAATAGAGAATTTTATTATTTCAAATGTTCTTCTTGATTCCATTTTCATTATCTGCATGTGATTCATATGATTTCAACGTAAATTATGGAAGGGTTGAAACACTTACATTTCAAGCAGATCAAACATCTTTTTGTAAAAAAATTAATTTTATCTATACTCAAAGATCAGTCCCTCACACATACTTTGAGTGGCTTTTCCCAAGTGCAAATGGTGATCATACAGTAGAATTTATAAATAAGCCACAAACAGTTAGTCAAGTAAAAAATCATGAGAAAACATTGGAATTTTCTATTGGCAACATATATAAGACTACAACAATTGATTTACAGTTGTCAGAAACTGGCACAGTTGAGTTCAGATTCGTTGCTTTTGATGGCGAAGAAGGATCACAAACAACTATTATTTCATGGTGGGCCAACGAATATATCAAAATTGGCAAAGGTAGTTCATATGATTTCGAATGGGAAGATGATCATACCTATAACTTCGTGAGCCTTAACAATGAACATGGTGATATCACAATTTCTGGTTCAAATGATCGTTCAGTCAGTGGAAAGTATAACACTTATTTAGATCCATCCTCCGAAAAAGAAGGAACATTCGATTCATCACTCAGTTTACAAGATTCAAAATTTTTTGCAACTAGTATTAAGTATAAAAGCGGTGAATATATTACAATAGGATATCATAGTGGAAATAATAAAGGTGCCAAACTTATTTTCTATCCTCACACTACGAAAGTTGATGATACAGCTCCAAAAATTCCTCCACCCAGAACAATAACACCAAAACGCACAATTCCACCATTCAATCCATTAAGAAGTGTGTTCTCAAGCCCAGTGAAAGCAACATTCCTTGTTTATTTCCTTTTCGTTTTTGTTTTCGTTTTAATCAATACAATAATATGCTGTGTATTTCCAAACAGAATGTACAGAGCTGGTATAGAGTATCCATGTTGCTATTCTTGCTGTATAAGAGCATCATACAAAGCAATCGCAATGTTTTATTCTAAGCATAGGTACAGTAAATGCTGTCAATGCGATTGTGACTGCTGCTATGATGAAAACCACCAACGTAAGTGCTGCAACTGCGATTGCTCATGCCGTCATGATGATTGTTGCAACGGTTGTGATGGTGAAGCACTTTGCGCATTTGGAGTGTTTGTTGCGATCATTATGGTTGTTACTGGTATTATTGCTTTCCCATTTCTTCTAATATACTTATTGGTCCACTTAATTATTTCATGCGGAGGAGAAGAGAGAGAATTCGAGAAAGGCGGCTTCAAAATTGACTCAGCAAATAAAGGTAGGAAGCTACAGAACATTCAAAGCCAGAAAACAGATAGGCCTCCAAACAATTCTTCTCAACCTCCTCCACCACCACCTTATTACGGTTCTCAAACATACCAACATGCACCACCAAATCAACAGCAGCCTTATTACTACAGTCCTCAACAACAACCCTACTCTCAACAAAATTATAATCAGCAACAAGCTTCTTATGGCGGTCCACCACCACCTCAATCGATGTAAGGACAGCAACCATACCCTTACAGCTATGTTCCTCAGCAACAATCTCCTTATCAACAGCCACCACCTCAATCACAGACGAATAACTCAGCTACATTCCAACCTTCAGAGGCAAACTCCACTGAACCACCTCCACAATCTCCAATGCCACCTTCAGAGGCAGATTTGCCACCATCTCCTCCACCAGTGGATCTATAAATCAAAGCGGGAACATATTGTAAACTTCAGAATTTTTTTTTTCTAACATAAATGAAGTTAATCAGACTTTATTGGAGATTTTTACAGTAAGTTCAAATCAAATGAACTCTCCTTTGACTGATGTTCAAATAAATGAGTATCCTTTCACTATATAAGTATCGAATTTACTCTTGACTTTAAATCAATATCTTTACATCAATTATTAGGATCGACTATAAGTAAATATTTTTCATACTATATAGAGTCCTTCTTCGTTCACATAATGCAAATTCAATGAAAAAAGGAATAATAGGAGAACTGCTAACATATTGCAGCAAATAAAATTTACATATAAAGGATAAAAATGAAGAAACAGCTTTTAATATTGCAGCTGATACTGAAAATAAAGCAGAAGTTGAATTTTTTTCTATCATGTTGTACAAATATCAATGAAAAAGATGGAAAAGGATGAACAGCTCTTCATATTGCAGGAAATAAAAATTAGTTGAATTTTTTTCTATTATGTTGTACAAATATCATTTTTTTATATCTATTTCTCTAGAAGTTGACCAATACGTGGAACAAGTTTTTTAATTGAGTCCAGTACATTCAGATCTGGATGCTCTTTATCGAATAGCACTAGTTGTATAACATATTTGATTTCTGTCTCTTTATTTGTGAGTCCAGATAAGATTTCAGATAATTTTAGTGAAGAAGCATCTGATGATGACAAAACAATATTTCTGTCTTGGAAACTATTTGTATTTGCCTTATTTTGTTCTTTTTCTTTTTGAATTTCAAATTTTGTTCCTAAATTTAAATTATTATTTGGTTTATAATTTGACCAATCATCGTCATCAAGGAATGAGATCTTTCCTTCATATTTTTGATCATTACGAGGAAAATTATAATCTGATTTTGTATTTGGAATATTTGCTACGGCTATTTGGTCTGCCATATTATTTCCATGGTTAACACTATGACCTTTCACCCATTTCCAAGATACAGTGTGATCAGAATTGACTTGATCTAATCTTTTCCAAAGTTCAAGATTTAAAACTTTTCCACCATCAGACTTTTTCCAGCCCCTACTTTTCCATCCTCTAACCCAATCTGTGATTCCATTAAAAACGTATTTGGAATCTGTATAAACATTTAAACTGAAGCATCTTGGAAAGAGACTGATGCCTTCAATAGCAGCCATAAGTTCCATTCTCTGGTTCGTGGTATCCTTTGAACCACCTCCAAGTTTATATGAATTACCATTTTGTTGGCAAAAAACACCCCAGCCACCGGGTCCAGGATTTCCACTGCAAGCTCCATCGGTATATACATCAACTGGCTTCGATTTGTCTAGACTTGAAATAAATTTATTTGGATCATTAATTTCCATAAGCCAAAATGAACTCATTGTAAGGATGTCAATTTGGAAGAAAAGTGAGAAAATTCCTAAAATGCTAAAAATGAATTTTCAAAACGTATTTTTTTATCTCATTTTTGTGATTTTGAAAAAAATTTGGAGAGAAGAACTCTTCGTTTTTGAATTTTATCACGATGGTTTTAAAGTATATTAGACACATGTATTGATATTACTATTTTTGTATATTTTGAGAGAAAATCCCCAAAAAGTAAGAAAATCTAAGACGGTTTGAGAAAATATATAAACTATTGAAAATTTGAATTAAACTTCTAATTTGGAAAAAAGAAATTTGGAAAGAAGAAAATTCAAAAATCGAGATTTAGACTCAGCATCAAATGGAGAACAAAATGTTTCTTCATATGAAGGAAAAAAATTTTCTTGTGAAGAAATAGAGTTTTTAAAATTTTATTGTATGTAATGAAATAAACAAATATTAAAATTATTTTTTGATAACAAGAAAATTCCCAATTTTATACGTTTAGATGAAAATAAGTGATTTTGCTTGAAATAAAAGTTATTGTTTGCTTACAGCTATCAAATAGATTTTTGCTATTTTGATTAAAATTTGTTAATCAAATTAATAAATTTTTTCTAAATATCTTAAATATCTGGATCACTCACTGATACAATGAATTGAACAATAAAAATAATACAAACTCAACTAAGTTTCCTGTCTTTCAACTAAAAAAAATTATGCAAATTAAATTAAATTGTTTATTCAAATATAAAACAAAGATGAAGTAATTACAGTTATCATAAACTTTATGAATAGCTCTGTAATTGGTTCAGATTTTCGTAAAAATATTTTTATTAATATCGATAAGAATACGTTTACCTACTATCACAACATATCGATAAACAAGAGTAGAGTGATTTTTATCATCGAAACTTTTTAAAAGCTGTAAGCTGGAAGTAAAAATCTTGTTTTTTCTGAGTTAGTTGTAGAACTATTGATGTACGAGTTATCATTGTGATGTAGAAGGATGTCAATGTACTGACTGAAGGATATGAAGTGAATTGAATTTCATTGAATTTCAATTTGATCAAAATTTGTTGAAATGATATGAATGTGTCAACATCTGTATCACTCTCTTTCACTCCTTCCCTATGCTTTCGAGAACGAAGCTAGCTCAGCTTTCGCTGAGCGAATTGACACTTTTGATGTCCTAAACGTACATGCTCTCAAATTTATCGAAAAAATTATACCACCCAAACTAGTATATTCTTATTTTAAATATGATATTATCCTTAGAAATCACACTAGAATATATTTAAATCAACTTTTAAAAAGTTCGAATCCTGCGCGTCTCACTTTTTAAATTTTCCAAAAGGAAAATTATATTCTCCTAAAATGAAAACAATTTTCCGAATTGACATCCTTACTCATTGTTTATACGGGAGTATGGTAAATAATCTCAGGTAAGGATGTCGTTTTACGAAAAAAAACGATTTAGTTCTATAAAAGTGACACTATTCGCAAAACGGCATCCTTATCTCATGTCTTCTTTGTCTGCTCGCCGATATATTTGACTAAAAATTTTCATTGAATCAAACCGTCACGATCATTGTAAAATCATTTCATTTTTATGAAATTATTAGGTCTTTGCGGATATCTTCAAAATGCCAAAAAGCTTAAAGGCCAAACAAATGCTCTCATGAAGCATCTCAAGAAAGTTGGTGTTGAAGTTGTTTTCATTGACCCACCATACGTTGTTCCAGAAACTCCTGACTTAAGAAGCTGGGTTGAGAATGATTCACTTGAAGAATCTTATAAGACAATCCAAGCCGCTAAAGCTGAGCATCCTGACGCTGTTGGAATTTTTGGATTTTCAATGGGTTCAATGTTTGCACTTCACCTAGCCGCACATGCAGCTACACACGAAGACTCTCCATACAAATGGATTAAAATCATCTTCTGTGCATCAGCTCCTTGGCCAAAGGAAGGAAATCCACTTGGAGGCTGCTTCCCATGCACAGTTGATATTCCAGTCCTATTTGTTATCGGACTTACAGATCAAATCGCTCCACCAGATTCTCAAAGAACATATCTTCAATACTTTACAAACAAAACTATTTACGAGCATGAAGGCGGGCATTTCATCCCATCTGCACGTGATAAAATCGAACCATACATCAAGTTCTTTGAAGAACATAAGATTGAATAAAAAATAGAGCAAAATTTTAAATATTTTGACCATTCACACATAGCAGTATATATAAATTGATAATAAAGGATATATTTTTACATATTTTACATTATTTCGAAAATTAATGTTTACCTACATATTTTTGGCTTTTAGAAGCATTGGATTTGCGACCAACAGACTTCACCTCGAACAAGGATGGGTTTGTTTCGTTGATCTGAGTATTTAACATCTTAAGAGTGCCAAATACATCAGCCATTCCAGGTTCTTTAGCCTGTGGTGCAAGAGCAAGCTGTACTTTTCTTGTAAAAGCGACAATTTCGGCTTGGAATGGCCTTGTCTGTTCATTTTCCCAATTTTGAAGTTTGGAGAGAACAGCGTTCATCTTATTGTAAAATTCAAGTTCCTCGAGAGCGTTTCCTGAGTCTCCACGAAGAGCACGGCTTTTTGCCATTAATTCTTCGAAGAAATTCTTTCTTTCTTTTGTAATTTGCTCCCAGTGCTGAAGAGCTGCTCTAGATTCAGGTGTAAACACACAGTTCTGTAATGAACGTTGTTTGTTTTGTGTTTCCTTGATTTTTGCTTCCCACATTGTTTGAAGCTCATTAAGACTCTTCTCAACTGGCGAAATATTCTTACTTCTTTCGTTCAATAAAGTGAGCCTCTGTTTCACTTCAACAGTTTGTAATTGGATTAATTCGCCAAATCTCCAAAGACTATGCTCTGTAACAGCAACACTATCAAGGAAATCTGCGAGATTTTCAATTGAAGAGGGATCTTTCTCGAAAGTTTGACGTTCTTCAGACATATCTTGTAAAATTGAATTTTTGATTGATTCAACGAATTTTTCGCCAATACTAGCTGTAGGTTTGTGCGTAGAGATAAGTAAAAGTTCGAATGATGGATCCTTTAATCCAGCAGCGATTTCGACTGGAGTTAAACCACGTCCATCTCTTGCAAGCTCATCATCTGGCTTTTCAAGTGAAATCAGACGTGCTGACTCGATATCACCACGACGAATAGCAAGGATGAGAGCTGATTTAGATCCAATATTTGTTTCTGAACCAGCCTTAAGAAGTAAATCAACTGCAGCAGAATTCTTATGATCAACAGCTAAGAAAATAGGAAGATCCTTATAAAATTAAAAAAGAACTTCATTATTCATTATATTTGGATCAGCACTGGATTCAAGAAGTAAACCAACTGCTTCTGTATTATCAACTGCGACAGCTGTAAATAATGGTGTGCAACCATTTGCAAGTTTTATGTTTGGATCACATTTGTTAATTAATAAAGTTTTTACACATTCATTTTGCTTTTGTTCAATAGCAAAATGGAGTGGTGGTAATTTCTTGCAATTTGGTGCTGCAGGATCTGCGCCATTCTGTAAGAGAGTATTAACTAATTCAGCATCTCCGGCTTTGATTGCATGATGAAGAAGAGAAAGATCATCTAATATCTGATTAGGATCAGTTCCTTTATTTAATAATGACCTAATTTGATCCATTTTTTCAATAAAAAAATTTATAAAACTGAATGCGTTGTAAACTTTACGTTTTAACGGCGCGCAGCACCCGCACAATTTTGCAGAAACTATTTCAAGATTCATTCATTTTATATCTATAAGATCATCATGCATTGAATATGAATTTTGTCTCAGCTCCTATGCATTAACTATGCCAATTTGAAATTTCGATGAATTTTACTAATAAAGCAGTTTAACTAGATGTGAATGCTTTGATGCCTCTACCTTATTTCTCGGCATATTCAAAATATTAATTTAAAGTGAAATTTAATTATTGAAAAGTAAAACTTTTAAATAGAGCCAAAATAAAATGTGAAACAAAGAGAACTAGCAAGGTACATTATAAATATTCGTCGAATGATTGGTAAAGTAATTAAATAATGAACGTTTAAAAATACATTCGTTTAATTATAATCAAATTTAAAAATGACTGACAATTTCTCCGATCTTTTTAATGACAGTGATCAGCAACTAGCTTCAGATGTTGAACATCCTAAACCAACTGCTGAATCAATTCAGAAGCTTGAAGAACAAATCGAAATTCTTCAAAAAGAAAATTTATCACTCAGATCACAATTCGAAGGTACATTAGCTATTACAAACCAAATAGATTCTATTAATAATGAACTTTTACAAGCCAAATCACAGAGCAGAAAGTTGACATCAGAAAACGATGATTTACAGCACAGATTAGATCTTACAATCAAGGCAAAGGCTGAGTTATTAGAACAGTTAGAAGAAGAAAAGAAAAAGAATACTCAAGTAAGGAGCGAAAACTATTTTACTGCTAAACAAGATTTTGATCGTCAAAAAGCAGTGTTTCAACAAAAACTTGAGGAGGCTAACGATCAAATTGTTGAACTCAATTCAAAACTCGATAGCTACAATGTAAATCAGAAAGTTATGGATGGAAAGATTGATAAGATTGTTCAAAACGCACAAAGATTCTTCAACGAGGAGTTCGAGTCCTTTGATAGCCTTTGTGACTTCCTTTCACAGCCACAATATCAAAATACAAAGCCGGTTCCTCAAATTATTCCAAATCAACATCCAAAAGAGATATTTGCTGTTCAAAAGCAAGAGCCTTCCATAAATAACTTAAAGATGAAACTTAAAAACGCCAAAGGTATGGTTCATGATCTTTCTGCGAATAATCAGAAATTACAAGACCAAATCAATCAACTCACAGCTGAAATCCAGTCTCTCAAGCAAAATAATCAACGTACAATATCAAGTTACGAGAGCAAAATCACTGAACAAGAGCAATTGATTAAAGAAAAAGAAACAATTATTGTTAAAAAGACAAATCAGATTAATGAATTGAAAGCTCAATTATCCAAGCCACAAAAGCAAGTTAAAGAGAATCCAGTTCAGCAGAAACCTCAGAAACAAGTTGTTTTTGCAAATCCAAATGTTGAAAGTAAGATAGAAGCAATAAAGAACTATTTTGCAAATGAAAAGGCAGGATTGCTTTCTGCAAATGGAGAATTGAAGATACAGCTTGCTTCTGCTCAAGATAAGAATAATGATTTGGCAAATCAATTGAAGGATGCAAAGAATGAGCTCGCAAAGGTCAAATCTGATCTTAATAAGCAAAACAATGAGATTGAAACGCTTAAAGTCCTTAAGGATAATCATATTCGTGAAATTGATTCTTTAAGAAACGCTCTTCATGCACGAATCCCACAACAAGTTGAACAACCTAAACCAAAGGCTAAGAATAATAAGGATGAAATCAAGAAACTCCAAGAAACGATTTCAAACTTAAATAATGAAATCGTTTCTCTTCAAGTTGAAAACAACAACAATACTGATATAATTCAACAACTCAAGTCCGAACTTTCAGATGCAAAGACACATTCAGCTGAAGTTGAAGAGAAAATGAAACAAATTATGATGGATCTTAACGATGCCAACGCAAAACTTGCCAAGAAACCAGTTCCAAATATCAATGATCTTCTTCCTCCAGAAACATGGTATACAAATGAATTCGGAAGTGAAGTTGCTGAAGGAATTCACAACATTTCAAAGAATCTTTCACTTCAACCCGGATCCAAGATTCGTGCCATCTACAATCTCATTAAGGATAGTATGTGCGGCAAGATTACAGAACTTACAAATGTAAATGCCGATTTAACAAATCAAATTTCAGATATGGAGTCACTTTTCGGTGAGTTCCTTATTGACATGTCCATATCACTTCAAGATAAAGCATTTACATTCGAAGATTTTATGAAATCTGGTGGAAATTCCCTTATTAATCAAATTCGAGTTCTCAGAACAGAATATGATAGCATGAAACACATGTTTGACTCAATGCAATCAACACTTGTTGCTATTACAACATTCTTACAGCTCCCAGAGAACACTTCCGCTGATCAGATCATAAATATCATTGGGCAATTAACATCACAGCTCCAAGAACGTACAGAAATGCTTATAGATGCAAAGAAGAAGCTGAAGGTACTCAAATCAGCATACCAAGAAGCATCAGAAAAGTCACAACAGAACCAAGAAGAAATTTTACAAGAAAACGAAGCTCTCAAGGAAGAAATGAGCAGAACAGAGGAAGAAAAGAAGCAAATTTCACAGCACCTTACACAGATCAAAGTAGAGTTCGATAAGAAAGATGTCGAACTCACAAAAGCTCTTACTACCATCCAAGAACTTCAAGAAAACATTCAAGAAGCTGTTGACAAAATTGCCAATGAAACAAAAGCCGAAATCGAGCAAAAGAGCAACGAATTGCAAATGCATCTTGATAAGGCTACAGCTGAAATCGAGGACAACAAACAGAAGTTCGCAGAATACGAACAAAGAGCTAAAGAATTCCAATCAACAATTAATTCTCTCAAAGCAGAAAACGCAAAATTATCCGACCAACTCAAGAATCAAAACGAAGAATTCGAGAATCGTGAGAGAGAAAACATGAAGAAATTCGAAGAAGAGAAGAGAGAAGCCAAACAACAGTTTGATGCAGCAATTCAGCATTTGAACAACCAAATGGCAAAGCAGTTGGAAGACATTACGAAGATGGCTGCTGATAATACAGCGATTGAGCAAAAGATGTCGACAATGAAAGCTGCAGCAAAGAAGGTTTATGCTGATAAGAAGAAAGCAGAAGATGAAGCCAAATTCTCTCAAGAACAATACGAAAGGAAGAGAAGATTGTTGGAAGCACAATCTCGTGCAAAAGTTATTGCAGCAGAGAATTTCTTCAACACGAAACTTGAAGAAGAAAAGATGCGTCATGAAAGTGAAACAAGAAAGATTTATACTTTCGTTGCTGAAGCTTTTAAGAGCTTCTTCAATCCATCTGCAAGTTTCAATGAAAGAAACTTCAAAGCTGTCATCGAACAAGTCAGCGATGAGTTAGTAAGACTTACAAAGAGCGATGAAAACATCAGGAGAATGTTGGGTGCAAGTGAAAAGCAAACAACAGAGGATGCTGTTGCCATCCTTCTCCTTCACTAATTAACTTTATGATCTAATTTTTTTCCCTATTATTTGATTTAGCAAGTAAATCTTTTCTATGTTTTATTTTATTACAATCATATTGAATTTTTATTAATGACACACTTTCATTCAGTGGCAAGCATCTTAAGTTTATAGATCTAATAATATTACAAAATATCCATGCATGGAATGCTGTTAATATCAAATTTACCTTTTTTAAAATTATCAACAAGTAAAATCTTATGATTCACAACTCATTTGTGCATCACATAATGGTCATCTTGAAATTGTTATTTATCTTATTGCCGTTGGAGCTGATAAAAAAGCAAAGAATAAATATGGAAAAACTGCCCTTGATGTCGCAAGAGGTTCCATGAAAAAATTCTTTTTGGAAGACAAATCAGAATAAAGAATTATTATAGGGATATGTTAAAAAATATTTGTTATCACTTTGAATTCCCTGATACTTTGACAGAGATCGCTAGTGCTCACCAGACATATGGAAGAGTTTTTGGGTATTCTGGTATAAAAGAAGTTACAATTGGCCAAAATTCTCAATTGCAGAAAATTGGTACAGATGTTTTTGCGAACACAAATCTAGAATACTTTTATATACCCTCAAAATGTGTACTTCAAGATGGATCATGTTTCCAAGGTTGTCCTATTATTGGAATTTCAGTTGATGAAAGAAATACAAACTATAAAGTTGATGGCCAGATGCTTCTCTCTGGATCTGGATTTACCAATCTAGTTTATGTGAGTTCAAGGCTAACAGGAACATTTCAAGTTCCTTCTTATATTACTTCAATTGGTAATTCTGCATTTAGATGTTCGAAATTCAATAATATAATTTTCTCCAAAAATGTAACTTTTATTGATTCATTTTGCCTTGGAATATGCCAAATTGTTGAATTCGAATTTCCTATTAAAATAAAAACTATTCCATCTTTTATGTTTCAAAATTGCCCAAATTTAGGGTAAAAAAGGGGGTTGGCGTCCTAAGGCGTCCTAGTGTAAATTTCTCAAAATTGTGATATTTACATCACATTTTTGAGAGGTTTATGGGCGTCCTAAGGGAAAATTGAATAGCTAGGGCGTCAGTAGTATATAATGCGGGTTGTGTGACTTTTTTTGTAACCGATGAATTCATACAATATCGAGCGATTTTGTATCATTTTTGTAAACGTAAGAATTCATACAATATTGAACGATTTTGTATCATTTTTTTTAACATATGAAGTAAAAAATGTATGATTCTTACAATTTTATTCTTACGTTTTTGAATAAATCAAGATTTAAAAATGATATAATATTGTAAGACATTTACACTCAGCCCAAACATAATGAAATAAACACATTAAAAAAATTAACATTAATTTTAAAATAATTTATTTTTCATCACTTATAAAAGAAGCTATATATATAGATGATGTCAAATATTCCGCGATTAATTATAGAATTGTTTAAATCATGAATGGAATCAATGAAGTCATAATCAATGACCTCATAAACGAGTAAAAAGAAATTAGAAACTAATGATTATTTGAATTTATGAAATCAATTATTTGATTCATTCTTCCTTCAATCTCTTCTATTCTTTTTGTTAAATCATCTATTTTCATTAATGAGGTGATTCTTGATTGAGGAATAGATTTCAAACTAACCACCCCCTTTATTTTTGAAATTTTGAATCCATCAACTTTAAACATTTTATTCAATTTACACGTTGTCAATTCTTCAAATAATTTTTTATTATTAGCATAATAGTCATTAAATTCTTCAACAGATTAAAAAATTTTTATTTCAGTAATTGGTTTAACAACGTTTATTTTTTGTTGAACATTTTCACTTTCATTTATTTCTTCCCCCTCTGTTTCATTTATTTTTAAAATCGGTTTCATTTATCATTAAATAAAAATTAGAATATAAGTGATGAAAAATATTTTTTAATTAATGATAAATCAGAAATGGCGGCAGGATTCTTTAAAAAATTATGGGATGGAATTAAGAAAGCTGCGGGTTGGGTTTATAAAAAGATTATTAAACCTGTTGCAAACTTTTTGGCACCAGTAGCGAAAACGGCAGGAACTATCATAGGTGGGGTATTAGGTACTAAAGCAGGTAATCCGGCGATGGGAGCACAAGCAGGTAACGCAATTGGTGGAATAGCTGAAGGAATACTTAATAAAATAGGGGGTAGATAGTGGAAAAATAAATTATTTTAAAATTATTTTTATCTTAGTATCGGTTGTAGTCTTTGATAAACTTTTTCTCCTTTATTTAAAATTTCTCTTATTGGGGCAGCTTTTGGTGTTATTGATTCAGCTACGTCACTAATTGCTTCTTTATTCTTAAATATCCAATTTGCTCCCTTCTTCAATGTTTCCCAAACTTTACTCGCTCCTCTTTTTACTCTATCCCACAGTTTCTTAAATATACCTGCAGCCATAGTTGATTATTTCATTATAATTAAAAATTCATTTCCATCTTTTAATTTTGATTTTTTTATTTATTAATAAATGACGACTAACTATTTAGTGCCAAACACCAAACCGATTAATGGAAATGTGTTTCATTCATTCGAAAAGATAAATGAAATATTCGCAAAGAATGACGGTAGAAGATATTATAGAGAACTTGAAAGTTCATGCTATGACTCTGATGCTCCATATTTTGATGATAAACAAACTCATTTAAGAATTACAAATCCGGCTCATGATGTGAACCAATTAGGTGACACATATATTAAACGCAAAGTTAAAGCAACTCTAGTTTCAAATAAAGCTTTCACATGTGATGCCGCTTTTAAATGCATGCGTTTATTCGTTGGTTACAAATCATCAAATCAAAGCTTTAAACAATTAGAAGTAGAAACCGAAAGAGGTGATGCCGGTTATCTTCAAATGGATTGCGCCCGTGAATCTTTCGCATTTGCAACATATAAACCGAAATCAGAAAGGAAAGTTAAAAAGTTTGTTCATTCGTTATATAATAATGTTCAAAAATATGATAACTCAGTATGTGGTAAATATATTGACCCTTCTGAAGTTTTCAAGAGAGCAAATGAAGAAGTTGATATCACTTTTGATATGATTATTCCGGTAAATGATTTGTTAGCATTTCAGGCGTTCGATGATTATCCTAAATCATTTGGTGATATCATTCTTAAATATTATGTTTTCAGGGATACTTTAGTATTTTGTCAGGTTACCGTTAAGAGTTGCTGATTTACAAAATTACGTTTATGAAAAGATAACTGATGAAAATTATGAAAAGATTATGAATCATGTTTATAAATATGATCGCAAATTCCAACAAATCGGACTTCCTGCCAAATTAATTACAAGCTTAGCCGCTACATCTGCTGACGCAATAGTTGATGACGTTATTATTTCATGCACAAAGATGGAAGTTTTAGAGGATAAATGTATTACACCAGGATACGGTTTAATTGAAGAATCAGTTAAAGCAATACCACGTTTATTCAGTAAGGAAGATCCATTCATGATTCCAGCTCAACATATTGACATTCGTTCACTAAATGGAGGTTGCATCACTCCCGAGGGTATTAGCTCAGATTTCTCATATGCTCTTCATAATGTTACAGATGTTGTGTTAACATTTCCGAAGAATGCAATGCAAAGAACAGTTTTAGAAAATCCAATGCTTCGAGGTCTTCAGGTCACTATAGATTCCAGAAACTTCCCGATCAAGCGATGACCACAGTGGGTGACATATTCTTTACACGTATGCTTCAAGCTTCTGATTTAGATGGAGTGAATGAATGCACGGAAGAATACGAGGACTCATTAACTAGACCACTGAATGGTGATGATGGCGCACCATTAGCTAGAACATGGAAAGACCAAACTTCATTCTTATGCACTATTCCAGTTCAACGTGATGGAGCGGGTATATTCTTTGATGGATTAGAAACTTTTAACTCACAAGTTACAGTACAAGTGAAAGCTTATCCAATCATTCAGGGTGAAAATGACACTTACTGTTCAAAGGTGACAAATCCTCCTCAGGTTTGGTTTACTAGGACTACATATTGGACATGGACACCGGACGAAGGTTTGAAATATCATCCAACAGGTACACCACCGCAGTATAGAAGTTCATATGATGAAATATTGATGAATAGAAATGTTTAAAATTATAAATTTATTTTTGATTAAATGGATTTAAATTCATCCACCCCTTATGAAGAATTAGCGGGAGTATATAATACATACGTAGATGATATGATTAATGAAGCATTGAGTGATAATAGAAATGCTTTATCTAAGGAAAAATTAATGAAAATTCCATATTCTGAATGTTACTTAAATTCAATCACTGCAGCAATTGGTAAACAAAATAAAGGTAAAACATTAACGATATTAAAACAAATTATCATTATTGCTAACACTTCCCCCTATTCACATGTGTTAATTTATATCAACCGTTCAGGTTCACCTTCAGATGATACATTTGAATCTTTAAAGCATTTAATCAAAATTCCAATTATTTATTTATCACAAGAAGAAGCAGAAGATTATTTAAAAAACTTTTTAATGTATAAAGAATTATATAATACAATCAAGAAGCAAGGATTAGAGGATAAAATTATTGATAAACAACGGGATGAATTATTTGAAACACTTTCCATTTCAAATTTTGATAAAGAATTTTTACATTCACTCATTTTTCTAGATGATGCAGTGAAATCAAAACTAATAACAAATGAGAAATCATATTTTAATCAGTTATTAACTCAATGTCGACACATTCAATGTTCATTCTTTATGGCTGTTCAATACTTCAAAGCATTAAGCACAAACATTAAATCAAATCTATCAACCCTTTTCATTTTCAGTGGGTTTAGTCGTCAACAGTTGAACGTTATGCTTTATCAAATGAATTTACCAATGAGCATTAATGAACTTTACACACAATATCAGCAATTAGGTGAACATGGAAAAATAATAGTTGATTTAAATAAAGGGGATGTTAAATTTGATTAACTTTTTATAATTAATTTTTATTTTTTATTTATAATTAAACATGGCAGAAATAGCAAATCTTTTACAGGTTCCATTAAAACAAGGGACAAACAAAAGGGGTGCATATAATAGAACTATGAAAGTTCCCGATGGAATGAAAGAATTAGTTCATATTGTTGCTGGTCTTCAAAAAGATGTTAAACAAATGAGAAATGTTTTAACATTACCAGAAGCTCAAGCATATGCCAAACGTCATGGTCCAAATTGGGAAGCACATGAAGCAGACATTACGGGTCCAAATGGAAAACCTGATGATATAAATGAAGTTTTCGTTACTGATGGTCGAGGTAATATTAAAGTCATAAATGGTTATAAATTAACTGTATCTGATTATCCTAAACATAAAGCATATAATGAACGTTATCCTATGCAATTTGATGAAAATGGAAAAGCTGTTAAACAATACATTGGAGAAGGTGAAAAAGGTCCAATTAATTCATACCGTCATAATCCATATTCTTATTTCAATGAAGAATTAAATGCTATTGAAGAGGGACCGGATGGATTACCACGATATTCTAACCAGTTTGATGGTCAATATGCAAATATTAGACCTGAAATTTCAGCTAAGAAATTCTTTAAAGTTGCTTTATTCGATCCAGTTTTCGCAAATGTTAAAGATGAACTTAAACAGCAATTTCAACCAATTATAGTAGCAAGAATTGCATCAGGTGCTTTATCTCAAGCATTCAAAGATTTAATTAAGAAACCATTATATCAGCAACGAGGTTTAACTTATGATTTAGTTAAGGAATCAGATAAAAGAAAATTTGAGAAATCGGTTGATTATAAGAATGCAATTAATGAATATATTCGTTCTATTAATTTCGATGAAACAGCTAAAAATCAACTTCATGAACAAATACAGGGAATAATAGATTCAAAAGTTCCAGCAAAATAAAAGTTTAAATATATTTTTTTATTCGAATATAAATGAGAAGACGTTTCACTAGTCAAAAGAACACTAACGCAAAAGCAGAGATTACGGTTGGTTATAACGTAAATGATGATAAATCACGAATTATTCAAAATGTTAAAGGTAATGTTAGCCCTGAATTAACAAGGTCAGCAACTCAACCAAATTTATTAACTCGTGACTTACCGAAGAGTGAGGAGAATGAAGAAAACCATGAGAATGGAGACCCAATCATTTTATCTGAACCTGGTAAAGAACCCGTTGAAATTCCCACTTATCCAACATACCCCCACCTCTTTCATCAAACATCGAGAACCCATATAAAATAGACATTAATTCTGAATTAATGAAAATTTACCGTGATATAATAATTAATAATTATGATTCAATAATAAATTTAATTGACCAATCCGGTTTAATTATTTTACCTTATGAATCATTAATTCACATTATCGCCATTCTTTGTGATGTTCAAGATTCAGACGTTAAGATTCAATTTTTCATAGATGATGAGGTTTCATGCTGCGGAACAGTTGCAAAAATAAATCCTATAAAGGATATTAGCACAATTAAGATATCAAAGAATGGAACAACAACTGAACTTCATTTAACATATAATGATATTTATAATAAAATAGTTGATGAATATAAAATATCACTTGAAAAATTCTTTGTTAAGGCTATTTAATATTCAAGCATTAACATTATCGAATAATAATCCTTTGAATCATAATCAATAATAATTGACCTTTCACCAGTTTCTATCGTTTGTTTTATTTCTTTTTGTTCCCACTATCTGGATCAGTCATTGTAATTGTTTTTGTTATAGTATCAGCTTTATCTTTAACTTCAATCTTTTTTCCATCGGGATATTTAAACCAAAATTCCAAAAATTCGATATTGTCAATCTGTTCATATTTTAATCTATCAATTACATTTTTAATACCATCTGAAAATCTTATGAAATGGTCATTATATGGGTTTGATTGAACTAAATTTGAATGAAGTGAAATATAACCCGTTGATGAATATGACATCGACTCATATTTTCTGAAAACACTAAAATTTATAACATGAATGAATTTCTTATTCGTTGAATTTATGAATTCTTGAGGTAATCTTATTCTAGTTTTATTTATCACTGGAAAATAACGCTTTACCATATTTTTAATCGTAATAAAAATGTCAATTATCAATATTATTTCGAATAATAGTTGTGAATTAAATTTAACAGTTAGTGGAATTTATAATGTTACTCTCGTTTCTGTGAGTGGTAAATTTAATCCCATTCTTTTAGACCCTTCAGATTATATATCATTTATTAAAGATGACCATGAAAAAACGTATGATATGTATATAAATAATGTGATAGTGAAATGGGATATTAACACGATTTTAAGTTATTTAAATGAATCATTTATCGTATGGTATGAAGAAAATTTTAAATCAAAACCTGATAAACTTTTTGAACTTGATGAAATAAATAACCTTATTAAATTTCCGCTGAAAATTAAATTTTGTACTCCTCATTTTCGTTCATTGTTGGGGATATTAAATTTTGAAAAAGATGTTGGGGATGTTTTGTATTCTGACACTGGTTCCAATTTCATTTTAATCAAATGTGATAAAGTTAATACCCCAATGAGATTTTCACATCAAACATTAGACCCTAACTCTTACCCATCAATACAAAACATTTTATCCATCAACTTAAACACATTTTCTTTATCATATCCGTTTCAATTATCCGGGAATTCATTTATTCTTCATTCAAAAGATTTATCAAATATTAAATTTAGAATAACCGACCTATTTGATTGTGATTTAGAATTTATGAATGAAATATTATGGCAATTTCAAATAGAAAAAATAGCTGATGAGATAATGGATTAAATATTTATTTTTAAATTGTAATAAATGATTAAACAACAGCAACCACAACAACTTAAGGCGCAAAGCACCCAGGTCCTTCATACCATTACATACGCCATATATGCATATAATTCAAAGACGGCAGAACAAACGCAAAGGTTGAAATATGGAGATTTGGAGATAGTATTGAAAAATGACCGTTTCGAATTCGTTTGCAAAGGTGGTGCAGTGATATCAAATATAAAAGAAATTTTATTTATGAATTCTAAAATTAAAGGTATAACGGATGATATAACATCAATTCCACCAGAAGAACAAAGATATTACGCATTAAATGCATTTCCTAAAGTTTTGAAGATTGGAAGATTTAATTTAAATGAGGAATTCATAAAAGGTTTCCTAAATGACATAATGAAGAAAGCGGATAAAACTTATGTTAATGATGAGTTAATGAAGAAAGCGGATAAAACTTATGTTAATGATGAGTTAATGAAGAAAGCGGATAAAACTTATGTTAATGATGAGTTAATGAAGAAAGCGGATAAAACTTATGTTAATGATGAGTTAATGAAGAAAGCGGATAAAACTTATGTTAATGATGAGTTAATGAAGAAAGCGGATAAAACTTATGTTAATGATGAGTTAATGAAGAAAGCGGATAAAACTTATGTTAATGATGAGTTAATGAAGAAAGCGGATAAAACTTATGTTAATGATGAGTTAATGAAGAAAGCGGATAAGGAACATACACATTACTTCTTCTCAACTGTTGCTATAGAAAATATTGAAGGAACGGTTGACGGAACCGATGGGGATGCATTATATTATATTCCTCCTAACTTTCCACAAGGTTTAACATCGAATGAAAACATAACAACGAATAAAAAAATTAAATGTAAAAATGTTTATGTCATGAGTAGTGAAAATAATGTTAAATTCACTGTTCAAGATTTATATGATAAGAAAGCGGATAAAACATATGTTAACGATGAGTTAGAGAAGAAAGCAGATAAAACATATGTTAACGAAATATACCAAAGTTTGATAGGAACAACAAAAAATATTGAAACTATTGTTGGTGACTTTTCTGTCAATGAAGAAAATAAATATTTTAGATGGCAGTTTGTACACTCCTTAAAAAATGGTACACGGTGTAAACTCATTCCGAAAAATAACAATGAAATGTATGTAAGCTATAAAAAGAATGATGGTACACAAGTTAAAGTTCCATTAGACAACAACTGCTACTTAAACTTATATGGAGATGGACAAAAGAAATATTTAAGAGTTTATGAAATGGCAGATATGACATTGCCTGACCCAGCTCCAGCACCATATTATTATGACTATGGAGATGACGACAGAACACCACATGTAGATGAACAAAAGCTAACATTATATTTAGATTATTATAGATATAAAAGATATAATGCAATAGAAAAAACGAGAATAGTATATTATTATACAGATGACAGAAATAAATATTATAGTCAAGATTTTACCTACCCTGAAAACATAAGATTATATTATAAAAAATATTCTGACACAAACCAGAAAAAACCTGAAATAGTTGCACTATATTTTAAGTTCAAAAGAGAGAATCCTATAATATCTCATATGTTTGATTTAATGAACCCAGTAGGTTCTATTTATACATCTATGGATGCAAGAGGTCCTCAAGTAATGTTTGGTGTTGGTGCATGGGAACAAATAGTCGACAGGTTTTTGTATTGTGCAAACTCTTCAAAGGAAACAGGTGGAAGTAAAACAATTTCAGGTGAAAATTTACCTGCACACAGTCACTACATAAATTTAAGTACATCTCAAGCAGGTTGGCATAAGCATAGATATTGGGATTGGTCAGGAATGACAAAAGGTAAAGGATATGATGTTAAAGACAACGTTAAGTTTGCTATAAATTGTTACTGGAGCGACACTCAGGGAGAAGGAAACCATACACATTTCGTTTCAGGATATACACAAACAACGGGGCAAAGTAAAGAATACATGCCACCTTACATGACAGTTTACGCATGGTATAGAGTTCAATGAACGCTCAATGTTTGTGAAACAAACTTTAGAATGGACTGAAAGTTCTGAGCTCCAAAAGAGCAAACGACATAATTTAATTTTTTATTTTAGTATAAATGAAGATTCTACCATATGGTGTTATTGGAAGAGATAAAGATGGAAACCCAATATTTGATCCAAAGTTAAAATTAAAGTTACTGACAAGACAACAACTTGAAAAGTTGCTGAAACCAAAACAGGATGAGAAAATGAGAAAGAAAAAAATTTAAATTATGCAATTTTATTTTTTTCATAAATGACAAAATTAATTAAGCCAACTATTTCTAAATTAATGTTACCAATGAAATCATTTCATGGAGTACTTATCCCGGGTTCTTCACAATTAGCCGGGGCAGGTGTTGTGACTCAAGGTGGAACATTAGCGAATCCATTCAAATTATTAACTAAAGATGAACTTAATAAAATGATGATAAAATAACTGATAACAAAATTTTATTTCACTGCTACCATGTTACCATGTGCTACCATGTAAATTAAATTCTTTAAAAAATGATGACAACATGACATTTTGACAACATCACAGGAGGAAGGCATTTATGAATTATTTTTGAAGAACTGAAGGTGCTACCATGTTACCATGTGCTACCATGTAAATTAAATTCTTTAAAAAATGATGACAACATGACATTTTGACAACATCACAGGAGGAAGGCATTTATGAATTATTTTTGAAGAACTGAAGGTGCTACCATGTTACCATGTGCTACCATGTAAATTAAATTCTTTAAAAAATGATGACAACATGACATTTTGACAACATCACAGGAGGAAGGCAAAAATAAATTCAAATCATACTTTATAAAGCTTCATTTACAGGTATTTCATCATCAGTAAATGAATCCTCATTATCGTTTGGTTCAACCTGTTTATATAATCCTTTCATTTCTTCTTTCAAAACATAACACCATGTTTGTTTACCATCTATTCTTCCATGTTTCCTATCACATTTATCCTTAATACTCATTTGGAAATTCTTGTCTTTCATGTCTGATGGTTTGCAGAATAGAGCATTTTTACACGTCATACCTGCACACAATTCATCATAATGAGTATTTATCCATACATCTAAAGGATTTGTTGATAATTCAATTAAATCTTGTTTGGCTTCAGTCATCGGTATGATTCGTACATTAAATGATGAAAGGTCGTAATTGATAAAATACGTCAGTAAATTATCATAAAATTCCTTTGTGCATGAATCCATTAAATTCTTGAAGTAATCAAATTGACCCTTGAATTTACCATTAACCCTTAAAACTACATATCTTCTGTCTCCAACTTCAATTTTGACAGGGTAAACATTGTTAGTTACGAAAATGAAGTTTGCAACATTTTGTGCTGTTCTTCTGGGTTGATTCTTTTCATTAATTCTAATCTCATTATCCGTTATAATTGATTTCAAAGCGTTGAAGTTTGCGAGTCTGTCTTCACCAACATTCTTGAGTTCATTAAGTACAAGAAACATTTTATTCTCAACTACTGAATTGAAATTACCCATTAGCTCACCTATTTCAGTAATGTTTTTGCATGAATAACCAGCGAGAAGTTCAGAAACAATGTTGGTGAATCTGTTTTTACCTGTTCCCTGAAGTCCTTTCAAAATAATTGCTGTTTCATTCTTGATTCCAGGATGTTGAATCATTGATGCAATCCAGCCGAGAAGGTATTTATACACTTCATCGTTATTATCACAAATGGCTTCTTTAATGAAATTCATAAACATCTCAATTTTTGAGTAATCAGGCTTTTCGAGAATGTTGTATTTATAACCTTGAAACGTTGAGAAAACATCGGGGGAATCAGATTTAAAGCAAACACCCTTAACGGTTAATGAGGATAATTGATTTAGTAGTACATCCCATGCTGTTATTGTTTTACCTTCTTCTTTAAATAATTTAATCATTTTAAGTGACTCTTTCATGTTTGATTGAAGAACGAATGATATTTGATTCATTTTGTCGTGGATATTATAGTCCTTTTGAATGAAATATTTATTTCCACAATCTACAAAACGAATGACACGTGATAAATTCTCAATTACTTCAGAACTGTTTTTATACTGATGATTTTCAGCCTTGCGTCTAATATCTGTTATCAAAAACGAGTCATCAAGTTTGATATCAAATGTTATTTTTGGCTTACGTAATAAAGGCAAAACATATTCATCATAATATTCCTTTTGATATAGTTTTAGAATCTTCACCAAAACAAATGGAGAAGTCATTAAATGTGCATATCTACTACGTGCTTTTTCAAAATTACTTTTTGCATTTTCTGTTAAACTGCAGAAGTTATAAACGTTATCGTATGCTTCATTAATCAAATGATTAGGTAACGAATTAATTGCTTGAAACAGTGTGAATAATGTTATTTCTTTTTCTAAATTCATGTTTCCACCGTCATTATGTACTTCAAAATCACAGATACCATCAACTATGCTCTGGGCAAGTTTATCGTCAATGTTTACATCTTTGTTTTCATTCATGATAGTCTTTATTTCTTCATTCTTCTGTTCAACTCTTACCTTAATATTCAAATCATTTAATATATCATCCACTGTTCTGGTTAATGTTGAATCATAACTTCCACGAATGAATGAGTATGTATTGATTGGTTCTGTTGCATTCTTGCGAACTCTTGAATCAGCCATAACTACTAAAGAACGCTTTGAATCATCAACAGAAGTCATTATATCAATATCATAATCATTGCAGGAATAACATTTAATCATTCTGTTCGAAACTGCATAGAAGAAATTAGTGTTGCAATAAATGTGAAGTCCTCCCGAAGCGGTTTTAACGATAACATCTTTATCCGAAAGTTTTGATAGAATGTCTTTTCTAACCGTTTCTTTAAGTTCATCATTGTACGATTTATTGATATCGACATCTATAATCGTTAAATTTGATATTTTATTTACTAATAAAGCCATACCAGTTTTCCTTCCTCTTCCTCCATCATGTTTGAGGTAGTTGTGTAAATCAATCTTGTTTTCACCAATTCTTTCGTTGAGGGTTTTAGTTTCTGCCACAACTAATTCCTCAACTAATGAATCAATAACTTTTTCATCAGAAACGATATAGTTGTTGTTGTTGTTTGTTGCCGTCATTTATATAGGAATAAAAAAATAAAAATAATTTTAAAACTAACTTTATTTTTGGACTGCATCATATTTCCTATGTTGTTGTCAAAATGTCATGTTGTCATCATTTTTTAAAGAATTTAATTTACATGGTAGCACATGGTAACATGGTAGCACCTTCAGTTCTTCAAAAATAATTCATTATTGAATAACCTAAAATCATTAATGAAAACATAACGATAACCTTTATTTCCTATGTTGTTGTCAAAATGTCATGTTGTCATCATTTTTTAAAGAATTTAATTTACATGGTAGCACATGGTAACATGGTAGCACCTTCAGTTCTTCAAAAATAATTCATTATTGAATAACCTAAAATCATTAATGAAAACATAACGATAACCTTTATTTCCTATGTTGTTGTCAAAATGTCATGTTGTCATCATTTTTTAAAGAATTTAATTTACATGGTAGCACATGGTAACATGGTAGCACCTTCAGTTCTTCAAAAATAATTCATTATTGAATAACCTAAAATCATTAATGAAAACATAACGATAACATCAAATTTTATTTTTATATAAATGGATACCCCACAAGCTCAAAATTTACCACAAATCATAACAAGGGAGGAAATGATAAAAATGATGCAAGAACAAATTAAAAACAACAAACCACGAAAACCGAGAAGATGAGGAATAAAAATTAAATTTGGATTGAGTTTAAAAATTCATCTTTATTAAATTCATCTCTTCCAATCAATTTATTTATTCTATTAAATTCTTTTATTTTTGCTTCACTCAGTTTAAGGATTGAACGGTAAGTTTTTAATTTTTCGATTATTTCTTTCCTCTCTTGATCGTTTTCAACCCCACCACATTGCGGCTTCTTTTTGTAATAGCCTATTTTTGATTTAATTCTGTTTAGTTTCTTTTTATATTCATCGTCTGGACTCTTGGATGCTTCGTTGTCACTCATTTCTTACGAAATAAAAAAATTAAATATTATTTAAATATAATGGAGTAATAAAATAAATCGGAATTTCTATTAATTTATTGTTAACCTCAACTAATGCATTACCGTTAATATATCTAACAAATTCAGCTATTGTGTCAAATCTTCGTCTTCTTTTTGTCATTGATTTATCAGTTTTTCCATAATCGAGATGAATCAAAACTTTATCCCCTTGTTTAAAATTCATGAGCCCCGAATTAATTTGTTCACGTTTAACATCATTTAACCTTTCCATTTGCTTTCTAATATATTCCCATTCTTTTGAAATATCATTTTTCATTTCCACTGGTTTCATGTTTATGGTTCTATGCCATGTATTATTGTAATAATATACTAACTGCTGTATGATGGAGTCATGATTTCCATCCCAGTATATCTGACCGTTAACCCCTAATGCATCTCTAAGAGTTCTCATTACCGCATCAACTATTTTATTATGAAACGTATATGGAGAGGATGAAAAGTAAAAATTAATTTGTGGAAAATAATGAGCCATAGCTGCCTGAAATCCTTTATCACCATCACCCCTTATATTATCTACTCTTTCATGATCTAGTAAGTATTGAATAGCTCTTCTTGTTTCCTGTTCTGTTTTCCCTTTCACCGGAATGCAATATAAATATCTAGTGTTTACGTTAATGACAAATAAATAAGTAACATTTCCTTTTGAATATTCTAAATGATCAATTTCGTATGAATATGGATATGGTGCAAATGAGGGGCGACTAAATTTTTCCTTTAATGGTTGAATTTTTGGGTCAATTGGTTTATTTAATATCTTGAAATCCTTTTTAAAACCTTTTTGTTTCTTTGGTGATTGAAATGGATATAATAAAGTGAATGATGAAGGATTAACTGAAGGAGG